GACAAACTTTGCATTGGATCCCACACAATCATATTATGAGGATGAACATGGGGGTGCTGGGTGTTCCCCCAAGGTACAGTGTCACAGGCAGGGACTAGCAGGGTCAGGGGGGCTCTTTAGGCAGGAGTAAAGGGAAACTGAGGCAACGGGGAGACAGCCGATGTCTGAGTGCCCAGGGGCAGGCAGATGTGGGTTAGTCGTGTCTCTCCAGGCCGATCTGTGGGTCCGGAGGTTGCAGGGGCCAGGATTTTGGGGGGAGGAGGGGAGCATCTCCTGCAGGGGCCAGGATGGTGGAGCTGAGGGGACTCTTCCTCCGCACACCACTGAACGGCAACAAAGCCTCGTTCAATGGAAAACAGCCCCCTCGCCCCCTGCAGGGGGGATTCAGAACTGCCCCGCTCTGTGTCCTAGCCCCCGCACTGCTCCCAGCAAGTGACGATTCCCACGTCGCCCCAGAGGCAGGGCCTGGGGGTGGGGCCCAGGGCCTTTGCGGGGAAGTCTCAAGTGGGGTTTAGCTGTGAGGCTCTCCCTGTGCCCACACTGTCCGGCCTGGGGTCCCGAGGAGGGGAACATCGGGGTCACAGGGTGATGCCCCCCTGATCTCTCGTACGGGCACCGCCCAGGGATCACTTCCCCTTTGCCCCCCCTCCCAGTTCACGGCGATGGATCCCCCAGCACAGCGGGGAAGGGACGACTCCATGGGGGGATGTAAACAGCCGGCACCGATTGTCACGGGCATCAGACCCTTCTGCAGCTTCACCCAGAGTCAGGGTGTGAACCCCGGCATCCTGGAAAACTGAGGCCCTTTCCCAGAGGGGCTGCAACCTGTGCTGGGCGAGGGGTCCCTGTATATTCAGCCCCCGCACCCCAGAGGTGGCTGCATTCCAGTGCCAGGTGAGAGGTCCCTGTATAACCAGCCCCTGTGCCCCACCCCATCTCCCCCAGGTGTTACACACATTCCCGGCATGGGCACAGGGGGGCTGTGGGGTGCCCAGGTTGGGCTGGTTTGTGGTTCTGTGTTTATTACAAATCTGGAGATTAACAGGATGCAAAATAACAAACAGCCACCCCGGCGCATCCCCTCCCCCTCCCGGTGCTGAGCCCCCCACACCGGCCCCTACATGGGGGTCTGGGCAGGGCAGGGGGACAGGAGCTCGATGGGATGGGGATGCAGCGGGCGGGAGGGCAGCGTCCCCCCTAAATCTTCCCTGAAAGCAGAGTTCTCGGGGCAGGTGCTGCAGGGGGGTGAGTCTGGCACCCCCTGTGGGCTGGCGCCCCATGGCTGCTGGGGGCTCTCACTGCAGGGGCCCCCGGTTCACATTGATCACGGCGTACATGCTGGACTCGGCGGGCTCAGGGGCAGGGGCCGGGCCCCCCCGCTTGGCCTGCAGCGCCTGGATGTCCAGCTCGGCGTAGGTGAGTCCATCAGCACCGGGGTCGGGCTCCTGGGAGTGGGAGGGGAGAGGGTCACTGGGGTGTGCGTGTGCGTGTGTGTGTGTGTGTGTATGAATCCACCAACACCCCAACACACACAGAGCACAGGGCACACACACACACAGCTGGCGATCCCATAAGCCCACCCCACTCCCAGCAGCCTGACCCCCACCCCAAACCACTGAGTGTGCCAGGAAAGGCTGAGGGGGGAGGAGTGAGGGGGCTGCTGAGGCCCATGTGAGTCAAGGTTGGGGTCAGGCCCCATGGGGGAACAGGGGACACTTACCAGGGTCTGCGGCTGTTTCCCTTTGTCGATGGAGGTGTCTGCAGAACAGAGACACCCGCTGAGCTGCACCCCCGGCCGGCCCAGAGCAGAACCCCACACCCAGCTCTGACCCCTATGTCCAGCCAGGGGGCTCAGAGCCCTGCACAGCCACCCCTCGCCCGCCCCACAGCATGGGCCAGGGTCATTAGCCCCATGTTACAGAGAGGAAAACTGAGGCACAAAGATGTCTGGGGAGTTACCGCGGGGTGGGGGGCTGGGAGTCAGAACGCCTGTGTTCTCGCCCTGGCTCGGGAGGAGAGTGGGGTCTAGACTAGTGGTTAGAGCCGGGGGCTGGGAGCCAGGAGTGGGTGGGGAACTAGAGCGGGAAGGGAGGGTGGCCCCAGGGAGCTCCTGGGAGTCCAACACGACTCAGCTGACACCGGCTACCTCTGGGACCCTCTCCTTAGTCCCGCCCAGCAGCAGCTGTAAATCAGGCCCCGCCCCATATGAGTGGGGCCCCCACAAACCCCTCCCCTCCCTAGGGGTCCTGCCCCACCCTGGTACCCCCTTGGGTGTGCTACTCACAGATGGGGTCTTGCTGAGCCGGTGCCTTTAATGTCACCATAGGGCTGGTGCTAAAAGAGAAAATCCCCTTGTAAATGTCAAACCCCCACACACACCCGGAGAGCCCCCCATCCTGCCTCACACTGAGCCCAGTTCCCTAAGCCCCCTTCCCCAACCACCAGACCCCACCCCACCCCGCTCTAACCACTAGCCCCCACTCTGCTCCCAGAGGCAGATATAGAACCCAGGACTTCTGGTCACCCCCCCTCCCACACACACACACACACCCCTCCCTGCTCTAATCACTTCTGGTCACACCCCCATCCCCGAGCTGCGAGAGAACCCAGGAGCCCTGTGACCCCGGCAGGTCCATCGGGAGGGGGGAGGAGCCGGGTTCCTACCTGCTCGGTCTCAGTGCGGATCGTCTTCCTGCAGAGGGACACAAACCAGAATCCCCCATGAGCCAATCGGGATCGCCCGGTCCCAGCGCCCGGCCACTCATCCCCACAGGGCAGCAGGGATTGGGGTGCCTGGGGGGCTCCCCTCTGCTGCTGAGCCTGGATCCCTGCTGGGCTGGGCCTGACCAGCAGGGAGCAGCGCAACACCAGAGCATGCGCCAGGGGGAGGAGCCAATTAACTCATGGGGCTTTTCCTGTCCCCAATCCTTCCTCGTTAGTGACTCGTTATAACAAATCTGATCCAGGCCGATCAGCTTCTCTGTCACCCCATGTACCGGAGAAGCCCGGTGCCGGCACCTCTTTATACAGGGATCCTTAGCCTGGCACTGAGACGCGGCCACCTCTGGGGCGGGACAGCTGTGTGTACAGGGATTACACATGTAACAGCGCCCCCTGTTGAGCCCTCACCCAACTCTTTGGCTTTCCCAGCACAATCCCCCATCCAAGCCGTGACCCCATCCCGCCCTGCTTAGCGGCAGGTTTAACCCTTCCCTTGCTGGGTGGGGCACTTACTGGCTCGGATTTTTCTGAAGCAGACGAAGGCCACGAGGAGGAGGAGGAGGAGGAGGCCGGCGGCTGCTGCTCTCAGCCTGGCGTTGATGGGCCTGGTCTGACCCGGAGGTGCCGGCGATTCCGATCCACCTGGGAAACAGCAGCAGCCGTGAGTGCCGGGAGCGACTGGTCTGTTCCCCCCCAGCCCCTCCCACCCCAGGCGGCGCCCAAGGGGCTGGGACACCGCAGGGCGCAGGCAGCAGAAAATTCTATGGGGAGGATGTCGGGGGGCCCCAGGGCATCAAGTGGGGTCAGAGCCAGCAAGATTTGGGGGATTTGTAGCGGTAGGGGGCGCTGGGCTGTAGGGCAGGGGGCTCGGTAGGGGGCACTCTCCCCTGGCAGTCAGGCCTGGCCCCATTGCCCCAGCACAGCGCCAGGGGGCGCTGTCTGATCCAGCCTGGCCGTCATTTCCAGTCCCCCCCTAAGATGCCATGGCACCAGCCAGGCCTGACCGCACCATCTCCAGCCAACGGGCCCATCTAGCCCGGTATCCCGCCTCCCATGCTGGTTGCCCCTGGCTGCTTCGCGGGGAGGCCCAGTCCCACCCCCCTCCCGCCCATGGCCACTGAGGGGCCCAGCTGCCCACAGAGGAAGCCTCAGGCTGCCCCGTTAGAGGCGGGTTCGTGTCTGAAGAAGGAAGTTTGCTCTTCTCCCAAATCCGTTGGTGGGGAGGAGTCACTGCCCCTGAGAACAGCCTCCGTCCCTCCCCCTAGGCAACCACTGGGGAGAAGCTGCCCCATAATCTGTGACTCAATAGATTTCCCCTCCCCCCCCCCCAGCCCCAGTACCTGGGTCTGTGCAGCTCGGGTGGGTGGAAGTTGACATCTGTCCAGGCTGGGTCGGGTCAGTTCCCCCTGCAGGAATAGAACCAGTGTCCGATGGGGTGGGGAGAGGGGCTGAAATGGCGAATCAGCGGGCACCCAACCCCCACCCCACAACTCAGCATTGATCGTCAAGGTCATTCTGGGGGGGGAGGGAGATTTTTGTGTCTGGGGCCTGTGCTGGCTGGGCAGCCCCTGGGCCCCGACTCCTCTGTGCATCCCCAGAGCAGGGGCAGCCTGGGGGAGCCTCCCCTGGCAAAAGCCCCCTGCTCTGCAGCTCCCCCTGGGGCAGGGATCCCCCCTCCATCAGCCCTGAATCTCCATTGGCTGCTTCCCGGCCGGGTGTCCCCACCTCTGGGCCCAGGGCCCAGGGCAGAGCCTGGCTCTAAGCGTCCCATCAGCCCTGACCCCCCAGGGTCCGGCTGGGAGTGGGGCTGGGAGCGGGGATGCTGAGCCGGATACCGCCAGCTGCACGGGGTCGCTGGGCTGCGAGGAGACGAAGGGCTCTGATCGGGGCCGGGAGCTGCAGCTGTAGTTCCCTCCGTGCTGCTAGCCCATGGTGGTGATGTGGAACTTGGCCCTGTTCCCAGCAGGGTCCAAATGTCGCTGCGGGTCACCCCCTGGGCCACTGATGGGCCCAGCTGCCCCCAGAGGAAGCCTCCGGCTGCCTCGTTAGCAGCGGGTTCGTGTCTGAGCAGGAGGCTTCGCTCCCCTCCCAGATCCAGCGGCGGCCGCGGAGGGGAGTCACTGCCCCTGAGAACAGCCTCCGTCCCTTCCCCTGGGCAACCACTGGGGGAAGCTGCCCCGTAATCTGTGACTCAATAGATTCCCCCCTGGCCCCAGTACCTGGCTCTGTGCTACTCGGGTGGGTGGAAGTTGATATCTGTCCAGGCTGGGTCGGGTCGGTTCCCCCTGCAGGAATAGAACCAGTGTCCGATGGGGTGGGGGGGAGGGGCTGAAATAGCGACTCAGCGGGCACCCCACCCCACAACTCAGCATCGATCCTCAGGGGCATTCTGGGTGGGGGGAGGGAGATTTTTGTGGCTGGGGCCTGTGATAAATGAAGTGGGGGGTAGCTCCCTTTTATGGACACCCAGCCTGCCAGTTAGCTGTAAAATCCCTCTTCGTGGCTGTTCCCTGCTTGCTTTACCTGTAAAGGGTTGAAAAGTCCCCCAGGTAAAAGAAAGGGGGTGGGCACCTGACCAAAAGAGCCAATGGGAAGGCTAGAACTTTTTTAAGTGGGCGGGGGGCAGGGAGCAGTTATGCTGTGAGAAGCTGAAGGCCAGAGATGAAAATCATCAGATCAAATCTAGAGCTACTTTTAACAGCCCAGCTATGTAAGTAGACCAGGAATGTTTAGAAAGACGCGATTAGGTTTATTTCTGTTTATTTCTTATTGGCGTGTGGACTCCTCTGGGCTAACCCCAGGTGCTTTTGTTTGCTCGTAACCTTTAAGCTGAACCCCCAAGAAAGCTAGTTTGGGTGCTTAATGTTTGGAATTGTGCTTTTGAAATCTAGCACTAGTTCCCAGATGTATTTTCTTTCTTTTTGTTTTTAATCAAATTTACCTTTTTTAAGAACAGAATTGCGGTGGGGGGGTTGTGTGTCCTTAGAGGCTTGTGCACATGTGGTTTGATTAGCTGGTGGCAACAGCTGATTTCCTTTGTTTTCTTCTCAGCTGTTCCCTGGAGGTTTGTGCAGGCTCTGGGGTGGGGCCGCGGATGAGGGGCTCAGGGTGTGGGAGGGGGTTCTGGGCTGGGGCAGGGGGTTGGGGTGTGGGAGGGGGCTCCGTATTTGGGGGGGGGCTTGGGGTTGGGGGTTGGGCTCGAGGTTGGGGGGGCTTCCCTCGGGTGGCTCCTGGTCAGCAGTGCAGTGGGGCTCGGGCAGGCTCCCTACCTGTCCTGGCTCTGCGCTGCGCCTCGGAAGTGGCCAATAGGTCCCGCTCCTAGGCTGGAGGGCTGGGGGAGGGACATGAGGCTCCGCGGTGCGCGCTACTCTCCGGTCAAACACCGGACACGTCGTCACCCTAAGTGACGCGCGTGTGCAGCAAGCCGAGGGTGAGTGTGACGTTATGAGTGTAAAATAATATTTCATTGAAAGATGACAGGGCCAGAAAGAGTTCATTAACTCAGACTGACCTGACCCATGGGTGAATTGTAGAAACTGGTTAGGAAGATATGTAAATGAATAGAGCTTTGAAATGCAAGTCTGCATTGTTAGAGATCTCAAGGGGAGATGTTTGCTCAGGGCTTGTGATGTAAGCAAACAAGTCTTGTCTATTGCTGTAACTTTAATTCGAAGATCAAAAAGGAATATTAACATTTATGAAGATACTTGAGTGAAATAGTATTATTGTGTATATGTCTCTTTGAAGGTTGTGGTAACCTGTATCTGAAGTGTTTAATGGATAAATTACCCTGTGCTAATTGCCAGGATGTTTGAGAGAAGGAGAATTAAGCCTATTATTTTCTCAGGCCGAAAGGCTGCTGGAAATGTATAAGAACCCTGGGACATAATCATACTTCATCTCAGATCTGCTTTGGGTTTCAAGAGGGGGAAACCTTAAGCCACAAGGATTGAGATCCCCAGTCACTGACTGGAGTCACCCTGAATATGGACATTGGACTATAACCTCTGGACTATTTCTAAAAGGACTTTTGGCAACTACAAGCTCACCTCTGCTATGTATCTGAACCTCAAGAATTGAATTCAAGTCTCTCTGTATATTGATCTTTTAACCAACACTCTTTCTCTTTTCTTTTTAAATAAATTTTAGTTTAGTTAATAAGAATTGACTATAGTGTGTATTTTGGGTAAGATCTAAGTTATAATTGAACCTGGGTATGTGGCTGATCCTTTGGGATTGGAAGAACCTTTTCTTTTATATGATGAGATAAGATTTTCAGGAATCATCATCATATCTGACAGGTGTGTCTGGCCGGAGGCCTGAGGCCGGGCACTTTAAGGGAACTGCGTTGTTTGGACTTCTGAGTAACCAGTGAGGTACTACAGAAGCTGTTTTGTGCTGGTTGGTAATTCTAAGTATTGGAAGATCCACCAGCGTTTGGGGTTTGTCTGCCCTGTTCTGTTTGCAGTTCACCCTGATTGAGTGACCTCAGCTGGCTCCCACGGGCAGTACCGTCACAGTGAGACACAACGGTGCCTTGCTCCAGTCCCTCTGCGTGTCCATGTCTTACAGCCCTGCTCTGCCTGACCCGTTCCCCGGGCTCC